GAAAATTTATTGTGCTTGGAAATTTTTATTTTACCACCAAGGAATTTAAACTCATGTTCTGTACACGAAGGAAGCTACTCTAAAGTCTTTCTTATCAAAGCTTTTAGATAAAAGGCTCTTGTTTCATTCAATAAATCAACATCTTACTAGCAAATAAAATGTCATCTACATAAAGTATTAAGAAAATATATTTACTCCCACTTACTTTCATGTAGATGAATCAATTATGAGCATACACTGGCTTCAGAGATTCGTCCCATTTGGACAGATAGATCACCTAGACCAATGCACCTCCAATAATTTTATTTATTGTTAAGTTTTCAATTAAAACACACAATAACCCCCTTTGGGCAGTAAATTGCATGAAATAACCAGAAGCATTCCTCAATAATTTTTTGTTGTTGCATTTAAACAGTTTAAGCGGAAGCATACAATCCAATAAAAAAAATTACAGCATGCAACACAGGCTGAGAATACAAAATCATATAATAATATCAATTGAGAGCTAATTTTTCAATACATTGTGCACCAAAATATATCAAAAAATAAAATAAAATTCATAACTGATAGAGTTTAACACAATTTCATTTTTATCACCAAAAGTTACACACATAATGTAATAAATTAGTCATGAACAATAACAAAAATAATTAAGTATCATATACTCCCCTTTGGGCAGAGTATATAATATATAATTATTTTTCATACACGAAGTTTTAACAACGGAGAGAATTATATATAATTGTCTAAAATTTATCCCCTTTTGGCAGATAAATTTTATATCACCTTAATTCCAACATAAATGCATCATATGTAATTTTCAAAAAAATTCAATTACATATTCCCATCAATAATTTTTATCTTCATGTAATTTATTATTATATATTAAAAATCTCCTTTGGGCAGGTAATTAACATATAATAATTATTAAACAATAATAATAACTCATGAACCAAACATGCTCAAACAACACGAAACACTTTTCCAACATGTGTTTCTAAAAAATTATTGCATTTGTCGATAAAAAAAATTCCACTTATTGTCAATCACAATTATTAAAATTGTGTATCAAAATAATATTTTTTCATTATATTACATTGAAAATACAATACACTAAAACAACATAATGATATAGCAAAAAGGAAATATCATGGAATCCAAAAGTGAAATGCAGCCCTATTAAATATAACAAGGCATGAAAATCTAAACCAACATAATTTTATGGATAAAATGTGTGTCATTTTAAGAGATGTAAAATTGTGCCATTTTAATAGAGAGAAAGAGATACATAAAGAATGAGAGAGAGTTGACCAAAAAAATAAAGGTATGGGTCTCACTTCTTTGAGAGAGTGAAATGATATAAGTTGTGTTATTTAAAAGGATAAATATTTTTTTCTAATTTTATACATATAAAATAAGGGTAATATTTTCTTCCTTTTACATGACACAAGCAATTTTCCTACATAAATATAAAAGTGTGCCCCTTAATTCTTTTATTTTAAAAATAATGAACCCCACAATTAGTTATCTCTGTGACATGACTTTGGAAATTTTCTTACAACATAATATTTGTTTTTCTCGTTAAATAAATGGGTTTATCTTTCAATAGCAAAAGACGTGGTCCAAATGTGATTGGACTTTTAGATATAACCGTAAAACACTTTTAGATAGATTAGTGTTGGACTTTTAGATATAACCGCAAAAAAATATCAATAAATATATCAACTGTGGAAAATAAAAATGTGGACTTGAACTTTTAAAAAAAAAAATCTGTCTTATAATTCGTGCAATAGAATAGGAAGAAACATAATAAAATAGTTTCTTTAATGTTCACACAACAAACAAACCGTAAACTTGTAAACAATATCCGTAAAAGACGAACCTAATAAAAACAGTATATTTATTAAAAAAAGTTTGGCGTTTGTGACATAAGTTATATCATTTTAGGAGAGAGATAAACACAGAAAAATGGAAATCATGAGAGAGAGAAAATATGTGATTTTTTTTTAATTTAAAATTTAAATAAAATTTTTTTTGTGTCTGTCTCTCTCTTAAAATGACATAACTTTATGTCATTTAAAATTACAATCAGTTCTCCCTTAAACAAAATAATAAATGAAAAGGATAATTTTTCAAGGACGTGTACCATGCAAACAGTATACTTATTTTTATCCAAACAAACAAAAAATCATTTAATATTAAAAAATGATTCATGAAACAAAAAATCACGCAAATCAAGTAAAGTCACTGACAGTAAACTAATACCACGAAACATAAATTTGTTAGTATGGGCATATCTTCCGAAACAGTATTCAAGTAAGAAAAATTCAAGTAACTTGAATAAAAAATAAATAAAAAAATTGCTAATATTGATGCACGTTTCACAAAACAGAATTTTCAAACCACAATCGTAGCACACAATTTAGATTAGCAGGTAGACTCAATGGTTCAATTACTGCAACACGTACACACAGCCACTATGCCATAAGATCGCACCTATTAAAAAGTTCCTAAACATGAACGAGTTTCCCAGACTTTTCCTCAAACAGGTGGTATACAACAACTAGAATACCCCAAATCCATTAAAAATTGCAATTATGTGTCATTGGGTTTCCATCGTCAACATATACAAGTGTCCAATTACCTCTTTCATTCACGCTCAGAGTGAAAACATAGATGGAAATAGAATTTAACTAAAAAGAACGGATTACCGAATTTACAAACAACCTATTCATCATCTTTGGGTCTTTTGAGGAATCGAAGAATGCTCGCAACCATATTAACAAAAAACAAAAACAAAAACAAAAATTATTATGTACGATCATAGAAAAAAAAGTGAAAATATCCATTCTGATCACTTTACATTTCAGCCAAATTAATCATTTTTTTTAATCATAATTGATACCTTTTTTTTAATATCAGTGTTTAAGCACGATCCAATACAAAGGATACCATAAAACTACCTTCTTAATATAAAACATCATAGAAAACGTTTTCTCCACTTTCCTATACTAAATATAGGACAATAGTGTAAATGTATTCAAATGGTGATAAAAAAAAGGGCACGAAAATTGAAAACTTAAAATGATGTTTTAAACAAGAGTGCTTTTTTTTTAATACGATGAACCCTAAAATTTTAGAATACAAATTCTCCTTCAATATTTCATAAAAACACACATATCATACATGAATAGAAAGATCGTGACACTAAAATAAAAACCCTAATATTCTCGATTCAACAGAAGAAAAAATTCATGAATCAACACATAAAGTTTCAACCTTTATAAAAATAATCCTAATTTCTTGATTCCAATCAAGAACGTGGATTCTAAAATCATATACACATGGCTTTGATACCAAATGTTAGATTTATTTTAACCTGGATTATGTATATGATTATAAAATACCAAACAATATAAAATCAAAGTTAGGATTGTATGTACCTTGTTGGATCATCACAAAGACGAAAGAAAGAACGGACTATATGCAAGATCTTCATTTCTGTCACTTGTTTCGATAAAGGCAGCCTCAACAATGATAGCATGATGTTTAACTCCAATATAAATAGGCGAGAGATGAGACCTAGCTAATAAAGTCTGTGTCCACCCATCATGGAAAACCAGGGTCACACTAAAACCTACACTGCTGCCCAATTAGGCCCAATAACAACAGATGTCATAAGCCCAATTCAATGTGATCACAATGGGCCAGTTACAATAATAATATTGAAATATCTATTAACCCGATTAATTTTAAAATACACAACTAATTAATTAATATTGCCCATAAAAATAATATTTGTAACATATATATGATTTTAATTTTCGTGTACTGTTAATGTAAAAAGTTGTACTTTATTTGATAATGGATTTACACATTTTTAATAGTTGCATGCATAAGCTTGACTTTGTATTGAATCAGCACTGCATTTAGTTAATATACTAAATTAAATAAAAAATTAAAAAAATAATAAAAAAGTTAGATGATTGATGATTGATAATTAAAAAAGGCAGAAAAAGCACATTAAATGGTACCATATATAATTATATATAACATTTTCAAGTCTATTTTATATAATATTATTTTATATATATAATATAACAGATAATAAATTATTATAGAAAACACATTGGATTGTTATGGTAGTAAGAACGAGGGAGGACATCATTGTATTGTTGGAATGACAGATTCTATCAGGAATACAAACTGTTGCGACAAAATCATACGATTATGAACATGATGGATTCTGGTTCATGAATATGATTCACGGAGATGCCGACACTTACTTTTGAGGGTGGGGTCACAATCCATGAACCACGGTAAAGGCATGCTGCAATCCTCTTTTACATGTTGTGTAAAAGTGAGCCAAGAGACACTACTCCCATCATTTTGGATACTGTTTTATATATTTTATTTTTTTTGGTACAACCATTTTGGATACTGTTTTATATATTTTATTTTTTTTGGTACAACCATTTTGGATACTGTTTATATGCGCGCAATGTTGACATTTCTTTCATTTTTTATTTTTGTAACAAGGGTGAGATCAATCAAGATAATCTAAATTCCATGGTGCGGCTCTCTTGAAACAAGTTTCGGCCTCTAATGATTTGTCCTGTCTCACATTTTGAACAATTAAGAAAAATTATTAAACTAATTTCGATATGTAAGGGAATATAATTTTTCAGGTTACATGAAATAAAATTATCTTATATACATACAGAAAAAACTAACAAAATATTAATTATTCAATTGTTGTTTCTTTTTATCTCATTCAATTGTTGTTCTTATATGTCATATGTCATATTTATACACTGCTGTTTCTTTTTATCTCATTCAATTGTTGTTCTTATAACATAATATTAATTATCAAGAAACTAACAAAATTCCAATTTTTTTTTTAATTTTCTTATTTTGGAGGAAATGGGGTGGGGATTGGAAAGGGGGAGATGGGGTCCTAGCACCCCTAAATGCTAAACCAGAAAGTTGGAAGGCATATTTCAAGTGATTCTTGGAGACACACATGGTCTCAACGGATTCTTCATCACAATAGTGAAAGCCTGATTCTCACTCAAGTCAACCTCACACCCATCTTCAAGTGTCCATTTAAAATCCCTTACCAAATTGGCCACAAAGTACTCAAGGTGCAGCAGTGCCATACTAATTGCTGGGCAAACTCTCCTTCCAGCACCAAAAGGCATCATTTTAATCTCCGCAAACCCTTTTAGATCAAATTTAGTATCACCTTCACAATGCCTCAAAAACCTTTCAGGCTTAAACTCCATTGGATCTTCCCACACATTTGGATCCCACCCCATTTCAGCCACAAGAAAATTCACCATTGCATTTTTAGGTATATCATAACCATCTATCACAGTGTCTTGCGTCACTGCCCTAGGCAATATAAAGTGACCTGGTGGATGTCGCCGCAGGGTCTCTAACACCACAGCCTTCAAATAAGGCATCCTTTTCAAATGTTCCTCTTCAATGTCTTCACCATGTTTCACAACTTTCTTAATTTCATCAAAGAGTTTCTCTTGTACGTTTTGATGCTTCACTAAATTTGCCATGGCCCACAACCACGTGGTAGCTGTTGTGTCAGTGCCGCCTAAGATAAACTCAGCACACAAACTCACCAACTCTTCATCCTTTAGCTTGCTTCCACTATCTGGGAGTTTCATATCAAAAAGGGTATCAACATAAGCCTCAAACTCTGTTTCTACTTCGTTTCCAACACCAACACCAACCTTGCTTTTCATTTTCTCATGTCGTGCTTTTAATATAGGGAGGAAGACACTCACTTGACTTTGACGAATTTCCAAGATCTTTCTCCATAGTCTTCTAAACAAAATCTTGGTTAAAAAGACTGGTAGAAAATTCAGGACATTGAACCGAATGAAATTGTGAAGTAAACTATGTTGTACCCTTTGAATATTCTCAACAGTTTTCTCATCAAGTTTATCTCCAAAACACATATAAGAAAGTAAAACATACATTGTGTAATTAAAATGATCATAAATTGGTATGCCCTTATTATTGCCTGATTCAATATCAGCTAAAAGATGTTTCTTGAATACATTTAACGCCAACTTACGGCAATGAGAATATGAATTTAATCGAGAAGGTTGAATAACTTGCATGACGTTTTGACGTAAAAACCGCCAAATGGGACCATAAGGAGAAGTACTAACGGTGTATAGATTAGGGAAGAAGACTTTGATGGTTTGAAGAGCTGAGGGGCGACTAGCAAAGACAGTGCCATTTTTAACAAGTGTTCGATGAGCAGCTTCGTGGGATGTTATGAAAATGGAAGGTGTAGTCCCAATGTGAATGGTAACAATGTTGCCATACTTGGAACGTAAAGATCGAAGGACAGGTTCGAGGACAGCAAAATTTTTTGACGACTTAAGGAGCCAGAAAATGTTACCTAATAAGGGTATGGTAGGAGGGCTTGGTGGTAGTCTCTTGTTGCGGATGACATTGAGAAAAGCTTGAAGGAAAAGGTATAGAGAAATAGAAGATAGAAAATAGAACCACAATCCCATTGCAAACATTGAACGGAAATGTTGGGAAGAAACAATTGGAATACTGTATATATAACGAAGCTTGAGTAGTTTGAAGGGAAGAAACTTCTTTTCAATTAATTTACTGTTTTTTTTATAAAAGCAACGATTGAAATACTCATCTGACTTTGGAAAATACAATTGAATTAAACTTTTTGGACCAAATTCATTACAACGTTAAAGCATGGTCAGTTTATCAGAAAACGTAACGCTTGAAACCACAATTAAAACGTTAATTAATTCCATTATAGGTTACGTTAATTGTATTAAATAATTTTTCAACGGAAATGTTGGGAAGAAACAATTGGAATACTGTATATGTAACGAAGCTTGAGTAGTTTGAAGGGAAGAAACTTCTTTTCAATTAATTTACTGTTGGGAAGAAACTTCTTTTCAATTAATTTACTGTTTTTTTATAAAAGCAACGATTGAAATACTCATCTGACTTTGGAAAATACTATTGAATTAAACTTTTTGGACCAAATTCATTACAACGTTAAAGCATGGTCAGTTTATCAGAAAACGTAACGCTTGAAACCACAATTAAAACGTTAATTAATTCCATTATAGGTTACGTTAATTGTATTAAATAATTTTTCAAATTATAGGTTACGTCAATTGTATTAATTAATTAAAACGTAACAAAGATTATTTTCAAAGATTATTAGTTAATTAATTAATTAAATCTGTCTTATAGTTCGTGCAATAGAATAGAAAGAAACAAAATCTGTCTTTAATGTTCACACAACAAACAAACCGTAAATTTGTAAACAATACCCGTAAGGGAATTACTTTTCTTACATAAATTTTTTTTTATCTCCTACACTCATATTTTTTAAATGGGTCCCACAAGATTTTTTTTTTCTTACCTATAACTTTTTTCTCTCTCCTAACTTTTGTTTGAGCATGAGATAATACTTCTCTTATGCAACATAAGTGACGTATTACCCTATCCGTAAAAGACGAACCTGATAAAAACAATATATTTATTAAAAAAAGTTTGTAGTTTATTATTTTAAACGACATAAATTATGTCATTTTAGGAGAGAGATAAACACAGAAAAATAGAAATAGAGAGAGAGAGAAAGTGTATGATTTTTTTAATTTTAAAATTTAAATAAAAAAATTTCTGTATCTGTCTCTCTCTTAAAATGAGATAACTTTATATCATTTAAAATGACAAACACAAACAAAAAATAATTTTTCAAAGACGTGTACCATGCAAACAGTATACTTATTTTTATCCAAACAAACAATGAATCATTTAATATTAAAAAATGATTCATGAAACAAAAAATCACGCAAATCAAGTAAAATCACTGACAGGAAACTAATACCACGAAACATAAATTTGTTAGTATGGGCATACCATGTCTTCCGAAACAGTATTCAAATAAAAATAAATCAAGTAACTTGAATAAAAAATAAATAAAAAAATTGCTAATATTGATGCACGTTTCACAAAACAGAATTTTCAAACCACAATCGTAGCACACAATTTAGATTAGCAGGTAGACTCAATGGTTCAATTACTGCAACACGGACACACAGCCACTGTGCCATAAGATCGCACCTATTAAAAAGTTTCTAAACATGAACGAGTTTCTCAGACTTTTCATGAAACAGGTGGATGTCGCCGCAGGGTCTCTAAGACCACAGCCTTCAAATAAGGCATCCTTTTCAAATGTTTCTCTTCAATGTCTTCACCATGTTTCACAACTTCCTTAATTTCATCAAACAGTTTCTCTTGTACGTTTTGATGCTTCACTAAATTTGCCATGGCCCACAACCACGTGATAGCTGTTGTGTCGGTGCCGCCTAAGATAAACTCAGCACACAAACTCACCAACTCTTCATCCTTTAATTTGCTTCCACTATGTGGGAGTTTCATATCAAAAAGGGTATCAACATAAGCCTCAAACTCTGCTTCTACTTCGTTTCCAACACCAACACCAACCTTGCTTTTCATTTTCTCATGTCGTGCTTTTATTATAGGGAGGAAGACACTCACTTGACTTTGACGAATTTCCAAGATCTTTCTCCATAGTCTTCTAAACAAAATCTCGGTGAAAAAGACTGGTAGAAAATTCAGGACATTGAACCGAATGAAATTGTGAAGTAAACTATGTTGTACCCTTTGAATATTCTCAACAGTTTCCTCATCAAGTTTATCTCCAAAACACATAAGAAAGTAAAACATACATTGTGTAATTGAAATGATCATAAATTGGTATGCCCTTATTATTATTTTTCCTGCTTTAGTAGTTGTTTCTTTTTGTTCTTTCGTGTCTGAATTTGCAGTATTAACTATTAAGCACAATCAAAATGATAATTCAGCAATTCCTGCCTTTTAATTCTGGCACTAATGAATCTCCCCCTTTTCTTTCTGACAGCACTGCTTTCTGTTCAACTTGCTTTTTTTCTTTGCACACACTGATTTTATATTCGTTTGGAGTGATTGCCTAAGGAATTGAATTCATGAGTTCACATCCAGAACTAGCCTAATCTTTCTATGTTATGTGGCACAAGTTTGACGCATGCTTTGAATTAACCCAAATAATCTATGATTTGGTTTGAACTTACAACTGTTCAAAAGAATTAAATCAGATATGGTGCAGTGTTAAACTGTGTTGCATCTAGTCATGGCCTGGAATATTGCACCTGTGTAAATTTTATTACCAAATTGTTTAATTCGTAGTTTTTTGCCTTTAGTAAATAACCCCTGATGTACCTAATGAAGTTAAGAAACAGACAGATTTAGACAAAATTACTAAATTAATTGTTTTTAAACCTAGTTTTAGTTAAGGTTTTTTATAGCTATATTGCTGCTTTTATGAATGTACATAAGCCGACCATGAACTTTCTTAATGTTAATTTCTCCCCCAAATTTTAACCTTTTTTGTTTCTCTTACAAGGAACATTAATATATACTATTGGAATTTTACTCTTGAAAGTGTTGTTAAAAATTTTTTGGCCCACGGGCTGGCCCTAACCCGTGGGGTTGCATAATTTTTTGATCCGTGCGGACTGTTTGATATGTGGGTTTTTTGGCTATGGCCCGCGCAGGCGAGGGCCTAACGGGCCGGACTGGCCCGTTTTGACAGCTCTATGCAAATGCATCTGAAGAAGATGGAGCAAAGTAGGTCGCAATGGTGCTTAGAGAATTTGGGCTAAGTTGCTGGCCAAAAAGATCAGGCTCAAATCACTATTGAAATGTTCCCAAATCGGCCCAAGGACGAGTCCTTTCTTTTTTTTTAAAGGGTGACATTTGGGCTTGTAAGCCCAACCAAAAATTTATAATTTCTGCCTATACCAAGTTGATCGTAATGTCACTTTGCCAAGAACGGCATCCACAAAGATCTCCAGGTCTCACGAAATCGAACCAATATTCTCAACCTGCACTCACCTACAGCAAATAATTTCCAATCACCCCAAACCCTTGCTCTTACACTTTGTTGACTGCAAAAGGTACAAGAGATAGCACATTGCAGATACTGGTTGGAGATAATGGTTGGGTCAATCATCAAGAAAATGGAACGCACTGTTCATTTGATGCTACAAAGTTCATGTTCTCATGGGGTAATTGTTCTAAGAAGCTCCATATGGCCAAGCTGGAAGGAATCGGCTACTTTGTGCTGCCTTTTCTCGTCAGGGTCCTCGGACAAGGTATTTTCTCTTTGTCTGTTAACAATTGTGTGGACCTAGATGACAAGGAGTCTATTGAGATGGTTATAAGAGAAGAGATCACTCTAGTTGTCATTACATCTAGAAATTTGGCAGAGATGCAGAGGAATAGTGTGACTAACTATATATGGTGGCAAGATTCCCCTCACGCTAGTTCAGCTGATTGAGGATTACCTTTCCCACAAATTGATGATGGTGAAACTCATATCAGATTGCATGAGAAACAATATAATGAAGGATTGAAGGATTTTTCTGTTAGGATTATTTTTCCCACTATTGAAAGAGTGATTACTGTTGCAAAAGGGCAATGGGATTCAGGTGGAAATTGTCGATATTGGTGTGTATGTGGAGTCTTACAATTCAAACAGTGGGATCCAGGAGGTGGGTCTTTGTTGACTAAACTACACCTTGAGGACAAGGTCCTTAAAAGGAGGGGAGTATTGTTAGGATACCACCCATTACTAGGGATTATCATAGGTGCAACCACAGGGGATCAACACCTTCATAACTAACTCACATTCCAGGGGGCATGAAAGGGAGAGTGGGTTTCGGTTACCTAGGGGAGCGGACTATAAGAAGGATGGGGATAAAGGTTTAGCATCTTGGGAATTAAGACTTGGAATTGGGCTGGGAGAGGACAGAGTCTCTCGAATACTCAGATATCTGTCATTGTTCTTGTTTTTTTAATTTTCCATTGTAATACATTCTCATTTTTCTTTTGTATTAGCATGTACAAGTCTTGTTCTGTAAGAATTTCAGTTCATCAATACAATTCCATTTCATTTTTATTTCCTATTTGTATTTCTTTATCATTTCTGAGTATCAATCTTATCAATATTTCCTACTTACCCCTGTTGCGGAGGAGTTATCCTATTTGCTAAAGACATACACACCTCAGTTAATTTAGATGATGGTTTTATTGACTTCCTAGATATCCTCTCTTAGATCAATTATGCACCTTAAACAAACCTTTGAATATACAGACCTCTATTGTGTTACTTTAATGTAAGTTCCACAAACTTAGAATTTCAGTACATTGAAAGTTCTAATTTAAAATATGACAAAGCTCTTTAACAATAATATCAAAACATAATCATTTGATTACTAATATGAAGAGATCTAATGATTTTCTTCTTCCAAGTAGGCAAGGAGATGCCTCAGTAGTTCAGTATTAAAAAATGAAGCATGGGAACCCCATGATCTTCCTCAAAATTCTTTACACAATAGGTTTTGTAGGCTACAGCTCATCCATAACTTGATTAACTTCTATTTGCTAATGATAAGTCTTGCTTGCCAACCCACATATCTAAGACCTTAGAAGAAAAGTAAACTATCACGGCTCTTTCAGCATTACTTCACTGCTGAAGAGTGAAGACAGTTCAGACAAACTTAAATGCCACGGTTTATTAGAACCACGTGACATGCACAAACATGAGAATCAACACATGAAAGTCACTTCACTATGGAACAAGATAAAATAACATAAATTCAAACTCCACCTCTGTTGGACCATCATCTAAACCATAGCTTGAACCAAATTAAAGTAATTATAGAAATTGGTAATTACGTGTCAATAAATTTGGCCCAAATTACTTTTTCCACAACTAAAAGCCATGTGTGTCTGGAGTATAAATTTCAAACTTGGTTACAGGATTTATTTTTCTCTCTAAAAAGAGAATGAAGTTAGAAAAAAAAAAAAATCAGTGCAAAGAAAGGATGCTAATAAATTCTACTACAAAACAAACAACACATGTGAATAACCCGCAAAAGCTAAAGACAGAGCTCTACCGTCCCTTCAAAATTGGAAAGAACAAATACTCTAGAGACTCCAGAAGCTAAAAAACAACATAATTTCTTAGAGAATCAAAAATCCATTAACACCTAACACTACAAAAATCCATTATGTTATTATTCTCTAAGAAATTATGTTGTTTTTAGCTTCTGGAGTCTCTAGAGTATTTGTTCTTTCCAATTTTGAAGGGACGGTAGAGCTCTGTCTTTAGCTTTTGCGGGTTATTCTCGTGTGTTGTTTGTTTTATAGGAGAATTTATTAGCATCCTTTCTTTGCACTGATTGTTTTTTTTTTTTTTTTTTTTCTAACTTCATTCTCTTCTTAGAGAGAAAAATAAATCCTGTAACCAAGTTTGAAATTTATACTCCAGACCATAGTTATTAATAGCGGGTAGCGGCCAAGCTCAAAAATGCTATAGCGGTATAGCGGGTAGCGGTATAATCGCTACAACGAAGTCCATAAAAAAATTAATTAAAATTAAAAATATACATTCATAATTAATTCTATTGTCACTTTCATTCCAAACAAGGATTCAAAGAATATAAAGGAAATAATATAAATTCCTTGAAAAGAATGATCTAAATATTGTCAAATACGAATTTTAATGGTCTATTTCAAAATCAAGAAAGGAACTAAGCAAAATCATCATCTCCACCATCTTCTAAGAAGTCTTCTCTATCCTCACTGTCACTAGTATTAAAATTATAAATTTGTTCTTCCTCTTCTTCAATTTCTTCATCACCACCACCTTCATTATCAACACTTTCCTTTTCCTTTCCCTCAGTGATAAAGCCCAAGTAGGTTTAGATTAAAAAATCTATTTTACCCTTATAATTAAAGTTTTAGACCATAATACCCTCCATTCCTCCTTTTTCCATTGCTTTCTCACTGTAGCGTGCAATTGCCCGGCTAACCACGCTATCCGCTACTGCAAATTGTTGACCGCTACTGCCGCTACATTGAATAGTAGCGTTGCGTGCGTTCTATTGCGGCATATGGCCGCTACCCGCTACAATAGCGCTATTGCGGCGCTATTTTCATCTATGCTCCAGACACACATGGCTTTTAGTTGTGGAAAAAGTAATTTGGGCCAAATTTATTGACACGTAATTACCAACTTCTATAATTACACGTAAATAAAATAAAAGAAAGCATAACAAAAAAACAAAATAGGTTCAAGTATCTGTAGAATGGATTCAGCTAAACTCAGAATGAATCATGCTAAATTCAAGATGTAACGCTTATCGGTAAGTCAATGTGTATATTTTTGTAGCTTGGTCTTTTGGATTTAGCTTTTCCTGTCTCTATAAAGTTGCAATCAAATATTATTCACTATAATGACAAGGCGCGGTTGTTGTACATTATCAAACATATGAATAATAACATAAACAGTTAAGGAAAATAAGAAAAATTAATCACAAATAACATGTGGCACTGTAGAAATCTGCCATTTTTTTTAACTTCAAAATTATTGTGTACAGAATTACAGTATAATTGGTATACAAAAAAAAAAAAGAATTACAGTATAATTGCACTATTAAAAAGTGTGCCTATGAAGCAAAGAAAAAATAAAAAGTCGTCATTTTTTTATTTAGAGCGAGGCATGATAGCAAGCCAAGCTTCATCATGCTCCACTCTTACGTAGCATTTGTCCGGTTTAGAGCTCCAATCAGTGAAAATTAACAAAATAAAGGCTCATGCACCAGTTGAAAGATAATTTCGGGTAAAAACAAAAACACCATACATCTCTGCTTGGACTCGAGTGCCACACGTGGCACTATGACAACAATTTTCCCAAAAACGTAATAACAAACTTCATCCACCGAAATCTCGAATCATGCACGTAAAAATAAATTTAAGAAAAATGTCTTTCATCAAATAGAAACCATTGATAGAAAATAGTGTTTAATAAAAAGATAAGATACCCTAACCCCTACCCAGGATTAATTTGTTAAAGATTGCAAGCGATTCCTTGTCGAATGTTCGTAAACGTAGACCTAAGAAACACAATAAAACATGCAAACCTAAGAAACACAATAAAACATGCAACAAAGCCAGTCTTCTTCAATCACCTTTAATTTACAAAAGCCCATAAATAAACCAATTGACAACTATCAACATACTCAACACTCAACTGACACCCTGACTGAATTAGTAAATATGTTCTTTGTTTTTTTACAGCACGCCCCACGAAAAAAAATAATCATGAACAATGCAAATCTAAACAACTCTTGAGTGCTACATTTATCCAACATCAAAACTTTAGAGATTTGACTGGGTAGAGTATTTGGAGGTGTTAGTGCTAGAGGTTAGGATAGAGTAACTCCAATACTTGAAGAGGGCATGATTTTGCGACTCAAAACCATGAAAGCTAAGGATCATTTTGTATAAAATTTCATCTCAATCACATCCAGAACATTCCATAAAAGAAAATAATAAGATTTATCTCAATAATAAACAAACTTGTCATCCTTGCATGCATCTTTCAAGGAGGGAAAAAGGAAAACCTATAATATATGTACCGAAATAAGAAAAATCATACAGACAGGCAGAAACCAACACCTGTTTTTTAGTTACAGCAATATGTCCCTGACCTTGAATGCCAAACAGAAGTATCCCTAAATAGTCATATAAAAAAAATCTTTCTGTATCAATTTTCAAAAGAAAATGTTCATACACTCCTATTATATTCATATGCTCTCCTTCCTTCATCCAATGAATGCTCCTTTCCAAAATTATCTGTAATCAAAAGCTACTATGAAATTTAGTTCATTCACGGCTAAACTCAGAATCATATATCAAATGGAAAATAGAAAGAAATTAGCTATAAGGAACCCAAGCCATTTGCCTCATTTAGTTAGATTCATGAATGAGTTTGTTCAAAAGGGTCGTCAACAAAGCATCCCTTCTCTCTGCTCTATTCTCTTCTCTCATTCTCCTCTGTTCTTCTCTCTCCCTCCATGCCTGTTCAATCATTAATCTCTCCCTCTCAAGCTTTTCCATCGATTGACGCCATTCGTGCTCAAACAGCTGTCTTTCATGAGCACGCCTTTCCATCATCTCCCTCCACTGCATCTCCATCCTTAGCTGGTGCTGGAAAAATTCCTTGAGCATTTCCTGAATACTACTAATATTGTTACTGGCAGCATTTGATGGAATGTTTGCCCTTGAAGACTTCTCCATTGCAACTTTGTCAGCTTTCCTTTTGCGGGTATTGCTTTTGGGAGGTCTCTCCTCTTCACTGTCATATTCGACCTCATCATCTTCTGAGAATTCCTCTGAGGACCGATCTCCACTTAATCTTTTCACCCCTTTCTTTGTTTGAGCGGATCGAGTTTCAGATTCAAGAAGGGACTGTTGCATTTTATGTGCTCTTTGGGTAAAGACTGCATGCAATTCTTCAAAAAATGGGCATTGCTTGCCATGCTCTGGATCAGATGTTTCTTTTCCCTGCATAAATATTACCATGCAATTTCTGAGTAAAGTGAACACTCCCCTCTTAAAGATATGGCTTTTTCTGCATTTTCAAATAAGAGAAGATTCATGCACAGTTGCACACCCAATAACATAAATTCAACAAAAGACCATCTAAACTCACCAAACCGTACATATTGATTTCCTATGCAGGTTTTTCTGCACATGCATAGGGGAGGTCAAAATACATTGGTATGCACGTTTAGGTGAGTTCAAGGAGCCATGTTGGTGAATTTCAAAAAATAGAGGGGTTCCTGCACATGACCAAAGTTGGAGGGGGTTTGTTGACTTTTTAGCCTAAGCTGTGGCAAGCACACCCTATAACCAAATTACTTCATCATACCAAGCATCATATGAACTTAATACAATTTAATGGTACACACTCGGTTTTCGAAAAATCAACATCTTGTCATATTTCACCATTTCTGAATTATTCCAAATGGGAAAAATGCGGGATATAAGGGTGGATACATTATTACTCCCACTGGCAAAAACATCAAAATGAACGCTGATAAAAAAAATGCAATGAGATAATGAGAATGCTCGCTTAGTGCTCCTCCCACTGGCATATATCAATCAACAAATAGTAACATGTAGTTATGAACCCCAAACAGGCCCAAAATTTCAGACCCGAATACATTATATCACAAAGGCTATGATTGTTCAAGTAGAAAACAGGGAGAAGAGTGAAATTAGAGTGGGATGCCAACTTTTTGATTTGAACTCATCGTTGCTCGGCATAGGGTGAGGAATATTACTTTCAACTCACTTTAATGCTATAGAAATGGCCAACATTTCCAGGGTGGATAGTAAATGAATTGTACTCCACTTTAAACAAATCCACATTTTTGTTCTACCACGCAGATATGAAGTGATTTTCCCTCAAAATTTTCCACCAACTCAATCAAAACCTAAGTGCTGAATCAATCCGACCAAAAACTCATAACCATTATTCAAAGGTAAAAAAAAAAAAATATAAAATAAAATCGTGTCTGCTCTGCCATACAAAACTCACATCGAAATTCATGAATAATGCAAACGCCACAATTAACCAAACGACATCCAACAACACACACAAAGCAATAAGAGAGAGAGAGAGAGAGAGAGAGAAATACCTTATAGCGATTAACGAGGTTCTTCCACTTGCATTTGCACTGTTCAGGGCTCCTTCTGAACCCTCTCTCCCTCATCTTGGAGCTAACAACCTCCCAAAGCGTCTTGTTCCGCTTCGAAGCAGTGAAGTCCCTCTCAAGCTCCGCGCGGATCTCTATGAACTCTCTCGTCTCCTGCTGGCTCCACTGCGTCTGAGCCGGACCCCTCTCCTCCCTCGACGGCGCCGGAGACATCTCGCCCGATACCACCGACGGCGTCGCCGGATTCAGCAACGACGGCGTCATCATGCCGAGGCGAGCCGCCAGTGCATCGTCACCTCCACCACTGAACATTGACCTTTCTGCCACGACGTCGTCGTTTGAATCAAATGAAGTGAATTTGGGATAAGGGTTTTGAACGAAATGGAAGAAGAGCCGCACCTGAAACTTGAAGCATCGAAAAAAAAAAAAAAAACTTTTTCCTTTTTTCTTCTTTCCGCTTTCGCAAGTTATCTTTGTCGACAAGACAGGAATCGTTGACTATCATTACGTACGATTATCTCAAAATCCGCTTCTTGAAAATGGTAATTTACGATTATGTCCCTTCATTTAACAAAGCCGTTACTGATTGTCGCCTCGTCGGTGTAAAATTTACACCGTTTTATTATTATTATTATAAGCATTACATATTTTAAAAATTTATTCAGTGATGATTTTTATTTTATTTTAAATTTTTCGTTAAGTTATTTATTTATTTTAATGTTTCTTATTTAAAATTATGACTATTAATTTTTTATTGATTTAGAATAACAATTAATGTGTAAATAAACATAAAAAATAGTTTAAAAATTAAATTTAAAAATCATATGAAATTTTGTAAAAATAGTAATAATATTTTTATATATTTCTATTGTATTGTAACATAGAAAACATAATATAATTCATCTTAAATATTAAAATATTAATGATATAACCTCCAAAAAATAAATAAAAAATATTAATGATATTTAATGTATATCAAACACAAGTTTATTAGATTCATATTCTGCAAGTACTCTTATCCTATCTATTTTAATCATATCTTATTTATCAAACGAGACATAAATCATAGTATAAATTATCAATCAAGATAGTAATCTATGTTTCTTAACCTTAACATTGAATTTGTTTTCCAAAATGATAATTATCTTTATTATAAATTGAATTTCATTCTAATTAAAAACAAATATACTAATTTCAATGCAATTAACATAGTTAGTCATTTGAAATCTTTTTTTTTTTTTTAATGTAAAAAGATAAACACAAAAATGTCAAATAAATAAATAAAAAGATAGACATGGGAAGATAAGATTTTTTAAACATAAATAGTATAAATACAATTTAATGATAATAAGTTAGGGAAGTAAGTTTCGAGCGTAACCACAATACAACCCCTTATAAGATAAAGAAAGAAAGCCCTTACGCTTCATTTGGGTGTGTTAGGGTTTCACATCACAGAATCCTCCTCCTTCGTTTGTTCTTGCCAATCATCATCCCAATGAAACAAGGATTCATTTGATTCCTGTTCCACTACGTTTCTTTTTCTTCACAATCCTGTATCCTTATCAATTATGATTATCATGAATTCCATCTTCTTCATCGCCCAAAACCTTCGTGTCTTCGGTCCTGGCTTGAATCCCTTCGCACCATATTGCATGGCCAATCACTCCCTTCCCTCTCGCTAATTCCCCTTTTCCCACGCCTTTGTGTTTTTCTTTTCAAAATATCGCTCTCGGATTTCTCCGTGCAAAATATGTAAAATCAGAGACCCTTTTAGATTTCTTGTCTATTATTTTTTGGGGGATTGGTTCTAGGTTTCCAATAATCGAAGGGAGGATTCTGTGATTATTCTCGGTGAAACCTAATCTGAGCTCATTGGAACCCAATACTCTTTGATTCTAGGGTTTGGGTCTCTCTTTTTTTGTTTTTTGTTTTTTGTTTGTTTTGATCTTCGTTTTTGCGTTGATTGGTGAGAGATATGCTGGAGGAGCAGCCAGTTTTATTCAGAAAGAGCCCTTCGAGAAGGCGCATGTTGAGGCCTGGGGTCGGTACCGATGACAGGGGTTGGACCTCACTTCATGTTTGCGCTCGGAAAGGTGAACTCAAAGTGGTAAGTTTGTCTTTTTTATTTTTTTGTGTTTTTTTAAATGCAGATTTACTGTGTTCCTGTTTAATTACTGAATTTTAAGGATGAAATCAGAGAAAGAAATGTTATTTACAAGGAAAATTCCGATTTGAGGTGCCCAAAGATTAGAGAATGAATGAGCAAGAAGGAAAAACAAAAGTGTACACACATTAGGTAGCTTTATGGAGCAATATATATATATATATATATATATATATATATATATATATACACACACACACACGAGGGTTCCATTCTGTTTATTGGTTGGTTGAATTTGAATTTAGATACTTTCTTCTCGTGTTTTGCCTGTTGTGATGGAGTTGCATTTGGTTTTAGGTGGCTTCAGTTTCAAGATTGGAGGTTTTGTTTTCCCATTGAATACCTTTTGTTTTATAGACAGAGGAATTGTTTTACTACCTTTGTTACAGTAGTGTTTTGTACATGCTTCGCCCCTTTTGATAACCAGACGCTCTGCTGCAGAGAATAAGGAGAGTAGAAATAGGCACAGAATTAATGGCCATGCGAAAAATAGAGAGAAATTCTCTATGATTGATGAAGATTATAAGTTTTACTCGCTCACACCCAAACCCTAATCCCAATGCACCCAAAAGCAGACTGTGATTATCAACTCTCAATTTACGTGACTGCTGAATCTACAATGAGTCAAGCTCAAAACTGGATACAGGCTAACTAAAATACTTATAACAAATTACTATTGCTTTTAAATATTGAGTTTACTGCTCAGTGATATCAAATGCAATTTGTTTTAATTTTTCTTTATTCTTTTAGACCCTTTCAGAAGAGTAGGGGAAAATAATTTTTACTTAAGGGTGGTATATAGCATGAAGAGAAATGAATAGTTGCGGCATTTACTAGGTCAGTATTAGTTTGAATTGTGTAGCAAAGTTCTTAACATATGATTGTATAATCTAGCGGTAGGAAGTGCTGTACAAGTGTGAAATATGCAAAATTTAGGGGTTCTATTCCTGGGAAACGTGGATGAATCTAATGCAAAGGTGAGGTTATAGTCTAGGTTGTATAGAAGCTGGCTCCACCTTACCTCTTCTAGATGATGTTATGGCAGTAATGTATTTTTTTTTACTAGTTATATACTTATGTTGCTTGAGTAGTGATATTATTCCATTATTTGAATGCTGATAAATGATCTGAAACCTCTGTCCTAATTGTTCTTTCTGTACTAAGCATGATCTAGATCAAGGAATCCTCCCATAAAGTCATCATCAAATTCAGTTTAACTTGTGTTACCTCTTTTATTGTTCAATTTTGCTGCTCTTCTATGATTATGGCAGTATGGCACATGATGTGCAAAACAGTTATGCAGTGTGCTATATGTAGGGCCAAATAACTTAAGATTGAAAGCCAACAAGTAGAATGAAGCTTTGAAAGGGGTTGCCAGTAGCACATTCAGGGTGGACAGTTATGAATAAGGGTGCGATTTTGCAGGGTTAGCGTGATATTTGTAAAAGGAGTGGGTATTCTACTGACTAGAAACGTTGCTCAGTTTTTGTCAGACCTGTAGTGTTTTCCATTTGTCGAGTGTTGGGTGGTGCAAGTTAAAGTCACTACTCACTAAGTAATTCATAGGTTAGGGATGTACATACAGTGCAGATATATAATTATGGTAGATGACAAGTCCATCAGATGAGTATGCATGACTGGGAAGAAACAGAGACGGTTCTCATTATGAACCTTACATTATCTTATTCAAATGGACTTAAATATTTTTTTTTCTCCTTAGTCTATATTTGTTATGTAGAGTTGTCTTGTAGGTCAGCATTAGCTCATTGTGTTGTGACAATAAGGTTGCTGCCTTGTGGCTTGTTGGCAAAATTCTGGTTGTGTAACCAGCCTCTTCAATCATGAGCTATGGACGCGCCCATCTGACTTACCCCACACCCTACAATGGTGGGGCTGTGTAGCCTCAGCCCTGTGCACTGTGCCACCCTTTATGACCTCCTGGCTGAATTTAAAAAAAAATTCAAATCTTGTGCAACGAATTCCTGTATTGCTTGAGGTTGATGATTTGTAAAATGTTTGATTATCCATTATTTATTGCTACTTTAGAATTAAAATTGTAACATATTTGGAGCCAAAGGGTTCTCATTTTTGTCAAATTTGGTCGCATCTGGGCATCTGCTTATAGTGTTGCTGAACAGGTAAGAAAACTTCTTGACGAAGGAATGGATGTCAATGTGACTGCATGGGGCCCTAAATCCAAAGGGGTGACCCCTCTCCACCTTGCTGCTGAAGGTGGTCACCTTGGTGTGATGGATGAACTGCTTGAGCGTGGTGCCAACATTGATGCAAGAACTAAGGGTGCTTGTGGTTGTAAGTTATTTTTGATTCCTCTGCAGACTTCAATACTACTATGTCTGTGTTCGTTCAAAATTTTAAATTTCATATTGATGTGTATGTTCTTCTCTTAAAACCAGGGACACCGCTCCACATTGCAGCCAAAGAGAGGAGGAGGGAGGCGGTGAAATTCTTGATAGAGAATGGAGCATTCTTGCCACCTGATATCAATGATAGCAGATTTAATCCTCCGCTTCATTACTGCCCCGGACTTGAATGGGCCTATGAGGAGTTGAAGCGACTTCGACATGCAGACTTATCTGCGGGGTAGACATCTTACAGCTCTGAAAGTTAATTTGCCTTTCAGGGATTTGGTTGATGTTCGGATTTGTCTTGTGTGAATAAATGTAGAATTGGACTAAGCAACGTACTACGCATGATTTCCTTAATGTATGGGTTGTGTTACAATGTTAATATTTTGGATGCTCCTCTTATGGGAAAAAAAAATGATATAAGGTTGTTAATGTGATATGTTGTGCGTTTGTTGATATAGTCCTGTCCTTTATGCATTGTGTGTGCACACAATGCTTTGTTCGAGTTCAAAGCCAGCTGTGAAAGTATCACTATTGTTATGGAGTGGTATTTTTCTTATGAACAATGATATCTTTACAATCTTGCATCTATAATTCTTGTCTTCAAATGAATCTTAGGATTTGATTAATTATTTGGCGCAATAACTTTTTCAGTTCTTTATTTTTTGTTAATATGTTTGGATTCATAGATCTTATTTTCAAAAGGATCGCCTTATTCTTTTGACGAAAGTTTTTTTCACTTGGATTTTGATTATTATTATAATTATTTTATAGAAGATTATGTGTAATTTCAAATACTAAAAAAAAGTTAATTCAAATGCAGCGTATGTTTACATTAGTTGTGAAACTTCATTTAAATTGATCATGATAAAATTATTTTTGTGATTATATTATTTGAAATTTGATTTTACAATTACATATTTTGTTTACATTGTATAAAAAGGAGATTACCTTATAACTTGAATTATTAGAAAGGACATCGAATGATTTATTTAGATTATGTAGTTTTGATGTTTTATGGTGAATATCATCAAAATGCTTAGAGTATGTAATAATGATAAGGGAGGGTTATATTTACAATCTAAATAGTTTATAAATTCTTATAATCAAATCTTAATCGTTGATTTTCGTCAATCAACAATTGTCATTTATTGTGAATTAATAAATTTTATTTGCAAAAATCTTAATTGTTGATTGACAGAAATCAACGGTTAAAATATGGTTGCAAGAAGTTGTAAACGAAAATAGGTTGTAAGTATAACCTTCCTCTAATGATAATAATAATAATAGAATTATAATTTTAATGTTCAAAATCTAATTTATTCCTGAAAGAAATTTTCTAGTATAACGTCGACAATAATAATTTATAATCTTTCAAAACATTAGCACTAAACATATAGCATTTTACCTGTAATAATTTTTATGATTAGAAAAATCTTATGATAAGATTACATGAAGATATAGGAAATAACTTACATGGTTTAACTACGGGGTTTACTTTTTTCATTTTATTGTAGACAAGTTTGCTTTTCTAAATAAAGATATTCAATGGTGTATGTAGACCACTCTTTTTTTTTTTTTAATAAAAAATTGCACATTTATCGATGGATATAAGGCAGAAGATTGTTATCTGCGTTAACATAAAAGTTGTATTAACCAGACAAAAACACGAATGCAAGGCTATTAAGCTAAGGAATCAGAAAACCGTAGAAGAAAAGCCAGACATAACCGCTCCAAATCTAAAGCACGCAGTTTGAAACCATTCCGGAAATCACCATAAACTATGCACTGCACTTTTCCTAAAGCACTTTTGCTAAAGGAATAAATATTTAGTATTATTGTTGCACTAAAGATTCAGAGTATCTTATTAATGGAAATATTATATATCAGTCAAAATTTCTCTTCTGTCAAATTTTCTTTTTCTCCTCTGACGTGTATGCTTCTAATGGTGGAATACACTGAATCTAACTGCAACAGATGCACTTAAAATTTATTCTTCCTAAAGAACCATTACAAGAGTTTATACCGCAATAGGGATGGATAATATACAAATTCATCTATCAATATTAAAAAATTCCATCATATTTAATTATTCATTAATAAAATAAGAATAATGATGATTGAACTCGTGATCAAGTAATCAATAAGGCTCCAATACCATATAATTCACTTAATTCAATTCAAAAATTTAACCGACAAAATAAATGTTATATTAATAATTTATATATCGAGGAGGAATTTTTTGACTCCAATATAAAATTAAAAATTTTTACTCTCTATTCTAGTGATTGATTTCCATCCATCTAATGATTATATTTTATTGAGTTATACGTATTAATTACTTATTAATTTCAAATAAATTCCAAAAAGAGACCAACATCACTGCTAGGGTTGGCAAAACGGGCCAACCCAGCTCGACCCGGCCCAAACGGATTGCAATTCGAAAAAATGAGCCGAGTTAGGGTTGGCTCGAAAAAAAAAAATTCAACAGAAAATTCAACCCAACCTGACCTGAGGCGGGTTAGGGTTGGCTTACAGGTTGGCTCGAAGAAATAGTTCACGTAAGTTGGATTAGGGGTTGGTCGAAAAAAGGGTTTTCAAAATTGGGGGTTCGAGTAGCACGTCAGCATGCTGCAAAAACTAGAACACCATAACTACTCTAGCAGCTCAAACATCAACAAGTGAATGAAAACCAAGACTTGAAAAGTATGGTCCATATGCGACAAAACGAACAACAAAAAACAAACAAAAATAGAAGCTTAACTTAACCAGCGAAGAGTGGGTGAGGATGGATGAGCTTGGTATGCGTGAGGATGGGTGAACTTTTAATTTGGGTAAGGCGACAAAGAAAAGGCTTAGTCGAGAGTGGCTTATGAATATGGTTGCTGATAGCGATTTTTTAGACAAGGAGAATGTAAAGAAAATTAAAGAAAAGAGCTGAGAAATAAGTTGAATCAACAGTGAAGATGGAAGGCAAAATTTCCCAAACGAATGAAACACATTGAGTTAGGGTTTAAAAGTTCAAACCTGATACTGATATGCTTGCTCGGTGGTGTGGGTTGTAACACCCCGTTCTAGAACCGGATTGTTATCATTGCGTACGGCATTAAGCGCAGTTACAATCACATTGGTTCAATTAGAAAACCGGATAAATTTTTCCTCTTTATACAAGCCGGATTCAAATAACCAAGTGCGTGACCATAACTATATATACTTCGCGGAATAGTGGGACAAAACTTAAGATTATATTCCCATTATACTTGACAATACGTCGTGAAATGTCTTCATCACTTTACTTATCAAATTAATTCTAAACTCTTTTTATGATTCCCATCTTCTACTATGTTATAGTATTTTTCATTAGCTACGCGTGGGTTCAAACCGCGCTCAAATCGGAGCACCGTAGCCAAAGTTATGCACTTTTTAAGAAAAGGGTGCGAAACCTCCAGAACCCCCGCGCCCGCAGCGTGAGATCCACGCTCAGAGCGTGGGAAAACAGAAAGTTGGCGCCCCAAGCGTGAATCTGGCGCCCCAAGCGTGGATGCTACTGTCTGATCTCGTAATTTGGCGCCCCAAGCGTGAATCTGGCGCCCCAAGCGCCATCCACAGGGCTGGGTGACCCAAAACAAGGTCATTTAACCTACCTATAATTTTCCACTCATAACTTGAGCTATACTCACTCAAATTACACCATTTTGGTCTCTATGGAAAGCTAAGAGGAATGTCTACCACTTCCCTAGAGACATCAAAGTCCAATTCCATCACATTGGTTATGAAAATTGGTCAAACGGACAGGATGTATTTGTTTTCTCAACATTTCCCAATTTAGCACTAGGTACCTAATTTAGTTTTCAGTTCAACAATCCAATAGTTAATGAACATACATATATTAAACTCAAAGTACTCATCAATTACACATCATGTTCATTACAATTCATGGAACTTAGCTAACAAAACACTATGATCATTCCCTTGGCTCTCATCAACAAAAGAGATGACCAAAGGCATGAGCATAGGCTAAGTCCATTCCAATATACAATTCATACATCTATCAATGGTCTATGAATTACAATCCTATACATGTGAGCTACAAAACAACATGTACAATCTCAAAAGAAATGCCACATTTCATGCATAATCCAGATATGGCCACTTGCCACCAGAGGCTCCTGCAGCATCCTTACCTGAAAGGGGGTCCCCACAACACGGGGTGAGATATACGAATATATCCAGTAAACCAGGGGTCCTTGGAGTATCTCTCCACCCCACAGTTAATATCAGTGTAATAGCAATAACTATAATAATGCAGTAAATACATATCTATGCAAAGTGCAATACATCTCCAGGAGAAATCCCTCGAGCTCTCAAGCTGTCCTAAGGAAACTCAGATGCAAATAGTCCTACTGGCCAGCTAACTACCAAGTATGATTTACGCATCGTCATGCAACATACCAACATAGGGAAACACCATCCTATGCCACACCAAATGCATACACATACGTATAACAAAGCATTACACTATTTTATTGCATTTATATACACAATCACAACCTCCACCCTTTCAGGGCTTGGTAGAACAGTCAAGGGAATTACACCCAAGGTCCGAAGGCTTACCTCAGCTTCAATTCGACCTTTGTTCACCACCAACAGTTTCCACAGTCAATCAATTAAAATACTCCACTTCTCAAACAAAACCTACACAAGGTTTAATGCAATTAACATATATTGCATCCAATAACATCACATAGCTATCATCCAAGCTATACAATTCATACCAAACATAAGCATGAACTCACCTATCCAATGGAGCTAATCAAGCTCCATAGCTTGCTCCAATGGTTGATCACTCACGGTTGGTCCAAATGTCTCAATCCTAGACATCACAAGGATCCAATCATCAATCAACCAAGCCAACCCATTGGTCATAATTGCAAGAAAACTCTTCAACAAGCATGATAATCTTGCAATATACCAAGTATAGTCATTTAACTAACTAGGCTCATTTTTACCGATTAAATGACATTCCTAGCATTTTTCTCAACATGTGCTAAGTCTCAATTCTACCACAACATAGCCAATTTACTCAAATTCTCACAAAACCCATAACACTATTCATTCAAAACCCTATATCATGAAATTTCCAAGAAAACATGGTTCAAGGGTTAGAATCTTACCACCAATGGTCACACAACCAAGGATTGATGGCTCCTCAAGCTTCAATGGAGGTTGAAGCACTCAAAACCTCAAATTTCACCAAAGGGCCGAATTTTTGAGAGCCAATATCCCTCTCCACAATGCTCCCCACTCAAAACAAAGCAAGGATTATGAAAGAGGAGGAGATTTGGAGTGGTTTAGGCTTTGGAATCACTCAAAATGGTTGAGATTAGCTCCCCCTAGGGTTTCTCTTCCTCTCTTCCCTTCCTCCCTCTTCTTCTCTTCCTTCTTCTTCTTTCTGGCGACGGGAATGGGAGGGACAATTGGGTTTCTTTTGTTGCTTTGGTCACTTAACTTATGTTAAGTGGCTTTAAGCGGGTATTGGTTC